GACAACCCCCAAATCCAAAAGCCAAAGGCTTGTGCGGAAGGGGGCTACACTTGAAAAAACGCGGACAAACACCCATTATCCATCGACATTGCCAGTGCCGACACCGGGGATCGAACCCGGACCAGAGTAGGAAGCCTAGCCGAGAAATGCTTGCCACCGCACTCTCGACCGACTGCGCTACCGTGGCGATCACATAGAAGGAATAACTTGCATGAAAGCTTAAAAGGCAATTTTGCAAATACAGGACATTCCATTAAACAGGATATACAACTTAATTAAGATACGGGAAATCAAATATAAATAACAAATTCGAGTTTGGGTATTTCAAGTACCTACTATTTCACCAGGTTGAATATTGTAACTTCACTGTCTACATATATGTTATTATTTATATTTTACATTGTTATTTATCCGTTAACTATATAATATAACAAATAACATTTTTTGAAAGTGTAAAACCCCCTGAGACTTATCCTATACCAATTAAAATTCTAGTTTTTCTTCAACTTGTTTACCCACTTGTTATGTTTATGATTATGAAGCAACTACATTGTACCAATTTTGACTATGGTTCAGTTCTAACATCTCAATGATCGTAAAATCCTTAAGAATTCTTTTATGGGAAACTTTAATAAGGTATTAATATAAGCTAAAGTCTGTTTAGAAATGAAAGAGAGTAATAAAAGCTTATTATGTATGCAAATCGTAAATAAATGTAGTACTGGTGCTTATATTCAATATTTTTATATTATGTATTTTCCGTATAGATGAGGTGTACTTTTAAAAAAACTTTGTGTGATCGGACTGTACTAAATTGTAGCAGGTAGCTAAAATTTAATCCCCGACAATCCGTCTTTGTCTATGCCGCTTCAATTTCTCGGTCCATTTCTCTTATAAGTAAACAATATAAAAACAGCATTTCAAAACATGAGGCTACTTTAAGCATCATAACCGGGTTAAGAGGGTTTTTAGTAATTCAAATAAAATTATTCAATATTATTATCAAAATATTTATTTAAATTTAATGAATAGACTTTTATTCCACACAAAAATATATGTATTTTGAAAATTCAAATTATGGTGAGTAAATGTAGTGTTGTATAAATGTACAATAAAGAAAATAAAAAAGTAGGTATATTAAAATTCATCCTCTGAATATTCTGATGAATTATCTTCGTCTCCTAGATTGATAACGATAGGTTCCACAGTAACGTCAATTAAATTATCGAGTTCCCACATTTTCTCCTCTTCTTTTTGTACATGATGTATACATCTTTGCCAGTTATCTGCAGTTACTCGTTCCAAGGAATTTTTTAACAAAATTTTCACGTCACTTAATTTAAACGTCGTATTATTTCGCGCTACATCTCCTTTTACCTGCGCCCAGACTAATTCGATTGGGTTAAGTTCACAGTGATAAGGTGGTAACCGTAGTACCGTTATTTGGCGATTTGTTGCCATTTCATCGATAACATATTTTTTCTGATCTTTATTAAGATTGACAAGTGTCAAAAGTTCCTTTTTCACCATATTTGTTTCAAAAGAAATGTTTTTTCCGGATAACCATTGAATTATATCGGCTTTCCTCCAAGCAGTCGTAGGCGTCCGCTCGGTCTGCCGTGAATGGTAACTGGCATTATCCATGACAATTACAGACCCCGGAGGAATAAGATCCAACATCTGTGTAAAATACTCTTCGAAAACATCTGCGTTCATGTCTTCGTGATAGTCACCTGTATTTTTAGATTCAAATAAAAGTAAACCGCCATCTACAAAACCACTGGCACTACCTATATGTGTCACTATTAATCTTCGCCCTTTACCTGAAGGTGCCTTGAACCCTGTTGAAAGTCCATCCAAAAATGCTTGTCGAAAACTTTTTACATTTTTATCTTGCCATACTTTTGTTACAGTATATCCCTCGTTGACCCAAGTTTCGTCTAGATAATAAATATTCCTCCCTTCGTCACGGAATTTTCTAATTGATCTTAAGTAGGATCTTCGCCAACAAATAATTTCATCTTTATCGATAAGAACTGACTTCCTGTTCTGCTTTTCCCAGCAAAAATTCAACTCTCGTAAGACGGCCCATAATTTGCTTCTACTGATTTTTGGCAAATCGTTGTCCTCTGAAAGTTCACTTAAAATTTTGTTTAGCGTTGGTATTTCTTTTTTAAAATAAAATGAGTGTACTTTTCTGCGAATGACATTTTTGAAGAAATCATCTATAACGACTTTTGACCTCCCTGTAGATGATTTTGGGGGATTTACAGTATCTTGTTCATTTTTTGTTTCCTTTAAAAGTCTGTAGATAGTCGATTTTCCAATCCCTGTCATTTTTGTTAGCATTAGTGTTACCCGATAATTACCTGAAACGAAATATTACCACGCCCATGGCCGGTTCTTATCTCGGGGTTTTATTACTCTCTTTCATTTCCAAACAGACTATATTTAACTTAATTTATCACCCCTTTGTTTGCTTATTGGGTTGCAAATTATTTAGTGATTTGAAGATATTTTCCATCGTTCTTTAACATATTCTTATGCGAATATATTGGTTGTTTTAAAAAAATTGTTACATCTTGGCCCATCTCATTTAAGTGAGTAAATATTAAGTAGGTAGTTAGTGTTAGGTTTCATCAAATTATCATCAATATTCATCAAAAACCAAATAAAACTATTCGAACTAAATTGCAAACATCTAATTAGTGCTTGCTTTTAAAATGCTCCTCTATAACGTAGATGAGTGAAAAATCATCGCTTTTATTTCGAAATCATTTGGATTATTTGACTGCTAATATACATTATTTTTACTCATAATAGATCTACTTTTCATTATACATATTTGTCTAAATTGTCGATATTTGATTAAGGCATAGTCTCAGTCACAATTTATTCATAATTTGATGAATTTTGATTTTATTAGAGGATTTGGATCATTGGGTGTAGTATTGCTTGTATTTAATAATGATGATAGTAATTCTAATTTAATATATTCAATCAATCAATTCAATTGAAATGTTATTTTTGGGACATGTCTTATTTAAATGTATGCTTGTAGAGTTCAGCCTCAGATAGTTTTCTACGGACCAGGAGGCCAAGGGCAGCCAATTCTCATCAATCCTGGCTCTCCTCCAGGCAACTTCCTGGTACCTCACCAACCTCAACCAGGGCCAAACGTCATTATCAGGGATATACCACAAAGGCCTGTTTTTGTGGCAGGATATCCTAAACCGGCCCATATTCCTCCAATCGAAAAGGACGCTGAGGAGATTCCAACCAATCCAGCGAAGATCCCACCATTTCCATCAACACCAACAGGTACATTTTTTTGCCTAATTTTATCCGGACCTACATTTCATTTTTATTTCATAGACCTCAGGTTAGGTTAGCATCTAGTAATTATTAAAAAATAAATTCAAATATTAAGTTTTATTATTAATTAAATTATAAAAATTTTCCTGTGTTGGCAAAGAAGATATGTAAAAATATTTTTCGTTATCTATAACTAATTATTCACACGAATTTTAATAACTGAAATATTAATTCTATTCTTTAAAGAAAGCTATTTGAAATAGTATTCCTACATTTCCTACATAGAAAAAAATGTATCCCGAATCGAAATACAATATATTTTTCTCAGTAAAAATACAGAAGTAGTGGATCATTACTACTCAGTACTGCCACAATGCATTGTTTGGTACGTGCTGACAAAGAACAACCTACTAATCTGTAGATAGTATGAGAGCAACACTAATGTCATGCTATACGAAATAAAGTTTCTAATTAATGATGTTGGGAAAAACAACTACTCTCTGACGAATAATCTTAGCTGTTTACTATTGCGGGTGTAATTCAATGTTAGTCTGTAGACCGCAGAGTATTTGTTTCCCACAATATCATTAGTTAAAAATTTACATTATTTAAATTATGCATTTCGAAAATATCAGCCTTTCCAGTTAAATGGATGAACATTTTGTCATATCGACTTGATACCAAGGTAACAATTTATTTAATCACGGTAGACTTAAGTGAAATTTGTGTCTGCCTTATAGTATAGTGGTACGTAAGCTGTTGCATAAAAAATTACATGTCATTGTCCTCGCAAGCACGCGATATGAATATGTGTATCATATCTGGCAGTGACCCGTTTTTGATGAAGAATTATAATTAATGTATACTAATTATCTATAATTTGAAACAATGTAGTAATAGTGCAGCATGCACTTTTAAATTTAAATAAATATCTAATAGATACATTGCAGAAAAATTAATTCACTTTTTCACACAAATTGTAGCTGATTCTTAAACGTTTTGGAAAATGTCTTCTAAAATTGATGAGAGTTAGCTAAAAATACATCTATTTGACTGAAAATTTGTAACATTAAGAATAAAAATAACTCACAAAAATTTTTTTAAACGTACAATTCCAATGAATTTTTATATATGGCCGGTACTTTGAGTCTCGGTTAAAGCATAATAATTAACTGATCAGGCGATTAGACTGATTTATTTTATAAAGTATAATCATAGTCTAATCGCCTGATTAGTTAATCAAGCCTTAACCAAGACTCAAAGTACCAGGCCTATTGAATCTATTGCAATGATCCAGTTTGTAATACATATTGGTCTGCTGTAATTTATTTTAAACTATATTTCAAGAAATCAAATTAAAAATATGTCTACATAGTTTTAATCAGCATCACTAAAATCGCCAGTATCTCAAAACTCATCAATGATGAAATAATTGTTTTATACAGGGTGTTTGTAAATAAGTGCGAAATATTTTAGGGGGTGGTTGTGAAAAAAAGTTCATATAAACGTAGGTCGAAATATGCTTTGTTTCCGAGATACAGAGGGATTAAATTTTAATTTTTTATTTATTTTTATTAATTATTTCAGAGTTTTAAAGATCGAAATTTGACGGTTGTATTTTATTTAGAAATATTAACAGCAACCTGCTAGATAATGTATCAATAGAAATTAAAAACATAGAACTTGCAATAAAATATGTTTTATTTTTTTTTCCTCAAAAACGGTGCATCCTACGAAACAAATGAAGAGACCAATTTCATTCAGAATTGATGGCGGATTTCTAAAAAAATATCAAAACAGGAAAAATTCAGTGGATTACCATTTTTTTTATTAAAAAAATATTGTGGCATTCTGGTACGAACGTCACTGATGCAAGTAGAAATATTCGGATCACCCCAAAAAATTCATATTTATCCCTCCAAAGCGTTTTTTAAATTTCGAGTCAATTTTAAACTCTGAAATAATTAATAAAAATAAATAAAATATTAAAATTTAAACACGGTATCTCGGAAAAGCAGCATTATGTATAGGTTTAAAATGTTTACTTTATTATTATTAAGTTTTTGTTTGACTTTAAAATCTAGGAAGTTATGGAAACGTCTGCTGCTATCATTAGAAAATGTTGTCTGTCTATAAGTTATTTACTTTAGTACCTAGTCAGAGTTTCTAATACATTTTCAAATTAAAATAATAGTAAAGTAAATTAAAAATTTATAGCTATAAGTGATAAACATCGAGATATTTCGTGCTTCGTCTGTGTAGAGAATGCTTTTTAAAATGCATATTATTGTCATTAATATACAACCTCTGAGTCCACCGAAATGTCCTCAGATAGAACTATTATTTAATAATGACTTTAATGGCAGTGTCAGTAATTTGCTAATTTTTCATTATTCTCGGGCATACCAGTGTTTCCTAAATTTTTAAAATTTGATTTTGGAACAAAATTAATAGTGAGAAAAATAAATAAGGAGAAGGATTAATAATAAAAAGAATAAATTTAAAACAAACAAACGCTGTATAAACAAAAAATATTCTACATTATAAATTAATGAAAAATATTTAAGCTCTTATTTTAAAGTTTAAAAAATAGACCAGTAGATTCATGATAATACAGAGAATAAGCAGAAATTATGTGAGAAAACACGTTGAAAAGTGTATTCAGGTATTGGTACACAATTTCCAATACAATTTGTAAAATCATTTCAATAAATTCTGCACTTATCTAAACGTACCTTTACAAATTTCTAATTTGTATTTTTAAACGGTAAAAGACATCAAAGATAGTCGAGTCAGTGGCGTACAAAAATGTACCCAGCTACCTAATATCTACGCCACTGCTTTGTGTTGATTGACTTTTACTTAAATGTCATTATTAAGTAGTAACTATAATTGTGGATTTCATTAAAATTCATAGTGTTCCAGATAAGGTTAAAAATAGAAGTAATTGTGAATTAGGTAACCGGGTGATTGTAATGTAACTTTAAAGTTAGTAATCACAATGTAAACTTTAATCGTAACTAATCTATACCACATGAGGACACATCAAAGTAACAGATGCCTTAAATGAAAAATATGTTACCAAATATATTCCTTGACTTAGCATCTTATTAGTTGTCATCAACCTGTTACTTTACAAACAATAACGAAATAGTCCGTACAATATATATTTGTTGAGATAGAATTCCAAGAAAAAATTAAGCCAATAAAGTTCTATTATTGGAACCACTGTAACAATTTATCGCGGCAGAGGCGTGCCTTGAAATTTTTATTCCGAAAAATTGTCTTAAAATAATTATATGTACATGTTAAACTTCGACTGGGAATTAAATTCATTTCATTTATTTTTCACCTGTATTAATTTATTTTAATAAAATTACATTTAAAATGCACAGGACGATACATTTACGAAGAAACATGCCTTCGTAACTGCAAAACACAGTATACACTGCAAGCTGCTACGGTGAACGCCCCGCCGCCAATGTCTTCCTACCTCGGGTGTCAAATGCGGTTAATTCCAATAAAGTGGCGCTGAGGGGTCTTCTTGGAATTCTCTCTCAATAAATATCGTATGGACTGTACCTTAACTATCAGAAAATCATTTCCTACTTTAGTAGACAAAACCTAACAATGTTGTTTTTGGGTAGTTATGATTGACGACCAAACACTTTATTATCGCTTTGAGAGTTGCAATTACGTTAAAGTAATGATAATTGTTTGGGAATGCCCTGTCCATAAGTATGTTTCTTTAATCTTTCAGCACGAAAACCTGAAAAACTGGAAACCTTCAACGAAGGCAAATTCGAATACCCCACCAAGTCTGCAGGAGAAGCTGATGTACTGGCAGCTGGTGACAGAAACCCGCAACTAATCCCCGGAACGAGTTTGAAACCTGGACATCGTTTCTTCATCCTCAATGGAGAAGATCTCTTTACCAACTTCCCCCTACCAAACAATCGGGAATTAAATCTCAAATATACGCAAAACCAACCCGAACAAATACAACTCCCGTTGTATCCACAGTCTCAAAATCTTGATAAGCAAAGCGAAATTGATATAAACAATATTCCAGTCCAAACGCTTTTACTAAGGAATGCTGTGACGGGGCAAATTTCTAACGTGCAAGATTTGAACTCGGAGGCAAAGTTACCTGAAAATTACATTGGCTTGAACCAGCCAAGCGCAGATCAAGCTTTGTTTAGATCTGGATTTCCAATAAACATCGGCACGGAAGATTTTCAACCAATTGGACAATTTAGATATTCTGCCCCCAGTGAACCATATTTTTCTTTTGATGGAGACGACTTTGAGAACGACGCTGTCGTTATAGATGCAAAAGCAGATGATGCTGATGATAATAAAGATAATGAAGGTAAGTTCAAAGAGAAATCGATTACAATGTTGTTCTTACAATCCTCTAAAAAGAGAAGAGGTTTGACCTACTTTTATCGCATTTTGCACTGTTAAAGTACAAAATTTAACGTTTTTTTTTTCTGGTATTATGGCAGCCGACGCAGTCGGTAGGTATGTTATTCTATATATTTATCAGATAAAATATTTGTTTTGTAATTACCTAATATAGACTCTAATAAAGATAAATTATGTATAAGGTCCTTACCTGAGGCATAGCCTGTATTAACTAACAAGTTAATTATTTAATTAGGTATCAATTAACTTTTGCCATTAAACCTTTTCCCGTTTATAAATTTATATTTCTGGGATATGGTTTTAATCTAACCAATTACTGCACCATTATGTTATTAACTTACCTATGACATACCAACCAGCGAGTAAGATTACATCCAGTGTCGGCTCGAAACTTTATACCAGAGAGAGCGGAAAAATTTAGGTACAAAGTTTAAAAAAAAAATTAAATATAATTGGGCAGTTTTATTTTAAGTACTATTGAAATATAGGGAAATGTGTTCAACATTATTTTTTATAGTGAAAGTCTATTCTTCTGCTTTTGTCCGTAATAAACTATTCATTTACTTTATAAAGTTTAGTATTTCTCGCACCATTGATTTTTCAATAAGTACCATTACTGTTAGTCTGTCTCAATCAATCAATCAATCAATCAATTTAAACATTTACAATCTTGAAAAGAACACACAAGAAGTAATACGTAATTTACAAAATTTTACACCACACCTGAACAAATTACGTTTAGTAAGAAAAAAAAAACATGAATAGCTACTATTTGGTTGGCATAGTAAATATGCTCTACTCCCACTCCGTCTTTCACTGTTGCGCGACGGTAACCATGACCACCGTCGTAAACACTTTACAGATGTAAGAGCGAGGAGCTTGCACATTACAAATTTAACATTTCAATTTTAATGTGTTTCATAAGGCTAATCTATTCAATTATCCAGATGACATTTTAAACTAAATTTTAAATTTAATTTTTTTACTCTGAAAATTTCTAGGGGAGGCGCCGCCCCTGAGCCCCCACGTACCAGCCGCCACTGCTTACATCCCTTGTTTTTCATCATTTACTCTCACTATTTTCTTATATTTAATAATCTTTCTATGCACTATATTAATATCATCTGTTGGTTATTTCATAGCTTCAAGTCCTCAAAAAGAGTCAGAACCAAGCACAGCCCAAGCTGCTCCTGGAGCTATTGCTCTGGCCGGTCCTGGTGGAGTAGCTGGTGCAGCACCAAAAGGAACTGCTTTAGTAGGAAGAGGAGGATTGGCCATTTCTAGCCCTCAAGCCACAGCAGTTGCTGGTCCAACTAAGAATGAGGAAAAGACTAAAAAGTCCACTAAGAAAAATTAAATGATGCATTGTTTTTGTTTTATTTTGTCATTTTACTTAATTGGTGGACCAAATTTAAGAAAATGTCGATATGGTTAAAACCCATTTTCACATTATTGTGATTAAAAGAAAATCAGTTCTACAAAAACCTGCCTATTTATAAAGTTTGGCAGATACATGATCGTTTTACAAAATTATTACAACCGGAATAATTTTACTATAATTAAGTAGAATTGTGGTTATTTTAAGTTCTAATTAAGAATAAATTAATGTAGATATTTATGAGATAACAATAAACATTGTCTAATATTTTGTCTTTATTCTAACTAACAAATTCTATTCTACTTTATTTAATTTGTTTACATATGGTTTGTTAAATATTCAGAAAAGGAGAAATCCTTAAACTTTCAGACTTCAATGTACACGTTTATAAAAACCCTAACCCAGTCATAGTCCTAAAGAGGTCTTATGACGTACGTCATGTTGAAAGTTTGTATTCTATACTTTAACTTCTAATGATGACTAACGATGAGTTTACAAAAAGATCTTAGTTTTAACTTAGCCCGTTGAGAGAGGAATAGTATTCTCACTCAATGCTTAGCCGTAACTTTACCATACCTAATATTAATTCTAAATCTTAGTCTTAATAGAACCAAATAGAACTCCGAGAAAAAGAAGTTAGAATAGAGCCGTATTCAAGCGCAGGTACTAGAATGACTGTGTACTTACATTTACAAAATACTTTATATACTCGTGAGAATCATAAAAATTTATTTTATATACTGTTCATTTGCGATTACATTTACATATTCATTTTCCCCAACGGGCTCCAAAGGTCTAGTTCCCCTCTAGACACGCCTCTACATATTTTAATTATCTAGGGCCTCTGCTCTCTTCATTAGGAAACACAGTATATACTCCAATAAGCAACCAATCAAAACAAAGTACTTTTAAAATCCTCTCCGTTTACAAAACAAACATGTCTTTGACATGCCGAATCTAGTGAATATAAGATCAGTGGTCAGAACGATCGAGCATAGACTAACCCAGTTACTGTGCCTTCGAATAGAAGTTGGTTGCCTACTACGTGGTGCAATGTTGGCAATTTGACGTTTAAACTTTTTTTTAGCATCCTTCCTTTCAAAAACATAACCCTAATCTGTTTTTTCAATGTCTAAAATATGTTAGTTCGTTATTTTTTGTTTCATTTCTTTCAAAACTGCTGCTGAGATTAGTTTTAACACTTTATAGTTAATTGGCAAGTAATAAAAAAACAATTTGGTATATCAAATAAATGTAATAATTATTAAAATAAATAACTCAGCTTACTAATATTTTCCAAAATGTACTTATATTTATACTTATATACAGTACTTAGTATTATTATATCTAGTGATGCTGATTGTGGTTGCAATTTGAATCGGAATGGTCAATGTGGAGATAATGAAAACCCTAGCGAGAAGTATTCACGAGAGTCAAACGACCTAGCAAACGACAATAAAGAAAGCCAAGCTTTTCATACATCGAATATGGTGCTTATTGAGAAGGCAACTTTTGAAATGGGAACCAACAAGCCTGTTTTTGAAAGTGACCATGAAGGTCCTTTACGAAACGTAACGCTTAACTCGTTTTATTTAGATAAGTATGAGGTTTCTAATCAACATTTTTCTGATTTTGTTAAAAAAACAGGGTACAAAACTGAGGCTGAAATATTTGGTGATAGCTTTATCTTTGAAATGTCGCTTCCCGAGGAAGACAGGAATAAATATCAAGATGTAAGAGCTGTACAAGCTCCGTGGTGGATTAAAATGAGTGGAGTTTCTTGGAAACATCCTGAGGGACCAGATTCCACCATACAAGGTATTCAAAAATATTTAATTACTTATCCCAATATACAGGATGTTCATTTTAAAATTCTTCAGCTTGATCTTAAAAACCCAAAGATATCAAATTCTATAAATATTTTTTAGTGCTTACCAGAGCTGGGAGTATTTTGACAAAAAAAAAATACCAAATAGTTTTTTTGTAACCCCAAAAATATTTTGTATATCAAATATTTTAATAACTATTTTGTATTTGAAAAAAGTATTTAAAAACTTATAAAAGTAATTTAAATACTATTGAGTATTTAAATTACTCGAAGTATTTAAAATACCTACCAAAAACAAATACTTTTTGCCTGTTACGACAGGTGACAGGCTAAAAAAAATACGCACCTGCACGTCTGGATTTAGCGCATTCTACTCTACATTCTGCAATGTGCATTGTGTTATTGCTATTCTGTCTACTACCTTTTAGGTCACTATAATCACTAGTCAAGTCAGTAGTCAAATCATCAAAATGTAAAATTATTTTTTTTATCATTAGTGGGCTATACTGAGAAAAACTAATAAAAGATTATGAATGAATTAAATATTCTGCATCGTAGTAATCCAAATGAAAATATTTTTTTTATATTTTATCTTGAAATCGGGCTTGCCTTGCACATGCAGTACATTTGTTTAAGTCACATTTTAATAGTTTCAGATTTAATATTTCACAAAAATATTTTAAATACTGTTAATGAATATTTTCAATATATTTAATATTCGACTTACATAAAATACTATTTTAAATACTAAGTAACTTATATTTAAAATACTTTGCCAAAGAAGTATTTTGTTTTTAAGTATTTTAAAATACTTTCGTACTAGTATTTTGTAATTTGTATTTTAAATACATTTTGAAAGTATTTTACCCGGCTCTGGTACTTGCAAATGACAAAGTCTGAATACAAATGCCATTCTTCAACATTATAGGCAGTTTGAAGAAGTTATAACAACTTGATCTTTAAACAAGTACAGCTTTACCAAACTCATCTTATCCGCAAGTTTCAATAGTGTAGTTGTAACGTTCTTCTTCTTTGTCTGAATCTACTGCCCAGCTTTTAAGGTCTTCTCTTTTTGTCACTTATACTGCACATCTTACGTACAAAAATGAGTTTGGTCAAGCCGTACTTTCTGATTCAAAACCAGTGATGTACTACTTTTGAAAATTTTTGTCATGGAAAAATGTCTTCGGTCAGCTTCGTCATCTATATGCTGGTATCAGGATTGTAATGATTTTAATCAACTAATTTTCTTATTTAAATCAAGGTATTTAAACTCCACATTCTATAAAATATTACTTTACATTGGACTGCTTCAGTCCATAAACAATTTAGAACATAAGTACAAACTAAAGCAAATGTACTATCTGCACTGAAACTGAGAAAGTTGCTGATTATAGAAGTTGATTTCGAAGAAATTGTAATTTTTATGCGTTTACAATTATTCTTAAGTGTCTATTTTGTTTCCGAAATGTCAGCCTGAGGAATTCGAAATGTAACACCTTAGTGAATTGTGAATTTTGTCACAGTCCTAGTTATCTTTAATGAATTTTTAGAAAAAATGAATTATCCAGTGATTCATGTTTCATGGAACGATGCTGTGAAATATTGTGAATATCTAGGAAAACGGTTACCCACAGAAGCAGAATGGGAAATGGCTTGCAGATCAGGATTAAGACAAAAATTGTATCCTTGGGGAAACAAATTAAATGCGACAGGAAAGCACTGGTAAAATATTATCTTCATTTTTTTTTTGTTTGATTTGGTAACAACAATATATTGTCATTGATTATGCATAAAGTAAATACTGATAACAAAAAAGATCGTTAGTCATGAAAATATAAACAGTTTGTTTGCATTCAATGAAATAGAAACAATTTGTGACTTGTAAATTTATGATTACAGCTAATAATAAATCGAAAATGTCCCAACAGTACATTCTAATCAAGCAGGAACATGTTGAAAGTTTCCCAATTTAATTCATATTTCCTTAGCAGGGACGAAAATTATCGAACAATGTTCTTTGTTTATTTTGGTATATACTATCATGTATTAAACATGACCCCTTGTAGAGAAAAACCACAATTGAAAAAGATTGTTTTAAGATGTGGAATTGTGGAAAGTAATGGGTTGGGCAATAATAAGAAGTGTCCGTTTTCTTTTCAAATTAAAAAGTCCACATAAAAATTAAACGCATTGTCAAATTGACACATTTGAAAGAGGACTTATTGCTCTATCAGATTGTGTTTTTGGTTGCTTTGTTCAATTTAATTTTTGTCAATTTTCATTCCTTTGAAATAGAACGTCGAGTTGATAAATTTGACCATTTTCGGCACTTGCTTCTTTTTGTTTTTAATGGAGTTAGGAAAAACTCTCAAGCTGCTCAGAAAATTTGATTTGTAGATAGTAATGATGTGATGAATGAATAAACGGCCAATCGATGATTTTCGCATTTTAAAGAAGGTGATTTCAACCTTAAAGCCATGAATTGTTCTGGACACCCTGTTGAATTTGATGAAGAGCACTTGAATCAACTCCACATTTGAAAAAAAATGGACATTACTTATTCCCCAACCCAATAGATGAACCTTACATTATTTCTGTTATATTATAGGGCAAATATTTGGCAAGGAGAATTTCCACATATAAATACAGCAGAAGATGGGTATATTTTCACTTGTCCAGTAGATGAATTTCCACCAAACAAATTTGGTCTTTATAACATGGCTGGTAATGTTTGGGAATGGACGTCGGATAATTGGCTCGACGACCCTGTGAGTACATCTGAAAAAAACACGAACATAATATTAAAGACAAAGTTTCCCACTTTCTTAAGTATGATCAGCTGGTGTAATTAAAAAAAAAATTAAAAATTTCATAGAATTGTTATCGCAAAACAGTAAGAAATTTATGAAGAAGCAAAATAAAAGCGGGCTTTGCTTTACTCTGCTCATAAAACTGCATATTTACATGGCAGCGCTGAACTAGCATCTTTTGTTAATTGTTTGGGGGCTAGTGGTATAATCACATTCGAGTGGACTGAAGAAATATTGATTTACGACCTAGTATCTAGATTAGTTCGTGTTTCCAGACAATATGATGTTTTTCAAAGAGCCAGGTTGCCCAGCTCCAAACATCTCCAAATTGCCTGCTTTTGTCGGTACTATATGAAAATATTGTAAATTTAAAAGTTTAATGTATTTTCAAATGTTTTACTCTGAGGATATAAAGTACTTAAAGTATTTCTTCATCTTTGCAAATGTCAGTTTGCAGCAGAAGATTAACAGAAAATAATTTTAGGATTCAAAAGTGAAAAAGGGAGGCTCTTTTCTGTGCCACGAATCTTACTGTTGGAGATACAGATGTGCAGCAAGGTCCTTTAATACCAAAGATAGCTCTGCCGCGAATTTAGGATTCCGCTGTGCGGCAGATGTTGAGTAATACAAACCCTACTTTACATTAATCAAAGTGGCAGCATACAGTATACAAAACAGTACTTAAAATAATCCTGCCAAAAAGTCTTCCACATTTATTATATATATTGTATATATGAAATTGTTGTAATAGTTTTTAGAGCCAAATATATATATTATTAACAATAAATAGTATTTCAATTGACAAAAAATATATATCATTATTTCAAGGCGTGGACATGTCTCGGAGTGTGACTGTGTTTTCGGATGCAATATTAACTTTGTTCCTAGAGCCATTGAAAACAGTTTCTAATAGTCAGATGTATACCGGGTGTCCGGTAAGTACCTCCTAATCTCTCGGGAGTGTATAGGGGAGGTCAAAATAAAACTAGTCCTTCCTATAATTTTTTTTCCTAATGTGCCCCCTAGCGGAGTTATGGGAGGTCAAAGGGGTACCCAGAAATTAACGTTTAGGGTTATAACTTTGAAACCACCCTGTATATTTTAATAAAATTTTCGTACGTTGTATTACACATGGAGCTCTACGATTTGATGCTAAAATCAACTTTTTGCTATTATCAGGTGTCCAGAAACGGACTGGCCCTATCACAATTTTTCTCAAAATTTTGACAGAAGTAATTTTATCAAACTGAAAATATTATTATTAGATACTCTGAAGGTTTTTCTTTAAAAATGGTACTCTTTATTTATTTCGAAAAAATGAACGGTTTGCGAGATAAATCGGTTTTGAAAAAAATTGGTAACAAATACAACAACAATTAAAATTTATTTTTTTTACATATTATTTCATGCATTTAATTTCTTTAACTTTATCAAGTCCAGAAATCTTTGAACGGGTTGGCTATACTTTATGAGCAAGTAGTGACCAATTAAAAATAACATTTGAAAAATAACTTACTTACAAGACATGCAACAAAGAACATTCAACAATGAACAAAGGTACCTAAATGTTACTTCGGTAGATGTTCAAAATGAGCACCCCGTACTTCAATGCACTTTCTAATCCTACGAATGTTTTCCCGGTGCACTTGAAATAATATTCCGTGATTATTGCGGAGATGGTCACAGTTCTGTGTTAGCCTCAGCAGAAGTTCCTCTCTACTATTTACGGGTGTTGAATAAACGTTATTTTTTAAATGACCCCACAGAAAAAAGTCTAATGGGTTTAGGTCGGGCGACCTAGGTGGCCATAATACAGGTCCGCCTCGACCTATCCATCGATCACCAAAAACATTCGTCAGATGTTGACGTACTAAACGATCAAAGTGGGGTGGTGCACCGTCATGCATGTACCACATTTCAGTTCTTATTTGAAGGGGCACTTCTTCTAACAAAATATTTAGATTTTCCTCTAAAAATTGCAAATAAAGAGCACCATTAAGTCTTTGCTCCAGAATAAATGGACCAATCAAATGATTCCCGATAATGCCAGCCCACACATTCACCATAAACCTTTGTTGGTAGCGAGTTTGAACTAAAGCGTGAGGGTTTTCTTCATCCCAGACATGTAGATTATGCGAATTAATTATGCCGTCTCTTGTAAAACCTGCTTCATCGGTGAACAAAATAGATGTACCAAAATTATGATTCCGAATATGATGCTGTAAAAACCAATTGGCGTATTGAAGTCTTTTTGGATAATCATCTGGAGACATAGCATGTACTTTTTGGATGTGGTACGGGTAAAGCAATTGTTCTTTCAGAGTTTCATGTACAGCCCATTTTGTAACATTGTTTTGCGCCGCAAGCTTCCTTATGCTATTTGAAGGATTATTAGCAACGTCTTCCAATATTTGTTCCTCTACATGAGGGTCTCGTACTCTCCTCGGGGCTCCTGCTCCACCACGGCGTGGCAAAAAGCTTCCTAAATAAAGGATTCGGAAGAAATTAGTTTCACTAACGTTTTTCACTATTTTTTTTTACCTGTTTCTCTTAAACTACGATCAACTCTTTCAAAAGTTTTTGGACTCGGCAAATGTCGACCCGGAAACCTTTCCTCATAAAGTCTTCTTGCCTCCACGGAGTTGCATAATGCTTCCCCATAAATTAGGTGCATATCAGCATATTCTGCACAGGAATATTCTTCCATTTTTAAATGTTATTTCTAACGGCTTAAAACGAATACCACAATAAAATTGAATTTTTATTCTGTCACGCGCCTTTGACAAGTACTTTAAAATCAACAGGGTCTAACAACGAAAACAATAGAAAAGAACTCCATGGAGACAAGAGCAATAATAATTTGTAGATGTATTTTGGTCATAGATGTTGATTTTACAAGAAACGGCATTATTCATTCCCTTAATTCACCACCAGTAAATGTTTATGGTGAATCTGTAGGCTGGCACTAGCGGGAATGATTTTATTGTAAAAAAATAAATTTTAATTGTTGTTGTATTTGTTACCAATTTTTTTCAAAACCGATTTATCTCGCAAACCGTTCATTTTTTCGAAATAAATAAAGAGTACCATTTTTAAAGAAAAACCTTCAGAGTATCTAATAATAATATTTTCAGTTTGATAAAATTACTTCTGTCAAAATTTTGAGAAAAATTGTGATAGGGCCAGTCCGTTTCTGGACACCTGATAATAGCAAAAAGTTGATTTTAGCATCAAATCGTAGAGCTCCATGTGTAATACAACGTACGAAAATTTTATTAAAATATACAGGGTGGTTTCAAAGTTATAACCCTAAACGTTAATTTCTAGGTACCCCTTTGACCCCCCATAACTCCGTTAGGGGGCACATTAGGAAAAAAAAATATAGGAAGGACTAGTTTTATTTTGACCTCCCCTATACACTCCCGAGAGATTAGGAGGTACTTACCGGACACCCTGTAGTACATTCCTATAATACTTACATAAGATTCAAAATTAATTTATTTAAAACCTAATGAGATCCTGTTTGACTCTTGAAACTGATTCTAATGCACTAACAACAAAGTTGATATGAACATCAAGCTCCTGGTACACGACGCTCCTTCTCGTTTAGATACATTTTGCATTGGGCGCTTATTTGCCGACATAGAACCATCTTGTTTTGCCGTAAGACGTAAGAATACATGAGGAGTGCTTCAACCAGAACACCCGAAAGGAGCTCAAACATCTAAACTATAACTATTTTCTACCGGTATAACCGATTTATGATACAATACAATTTGAAATGAACTTAAAGCTTGAGCTGGAGTTCAAAAAGTGATGGGTGTAATCACGAATCTTAGGTGCCCCATAGATTACGATGTTTTTCGTACATTCGCATCGTAGTCAATCTTATCAGTGTGCCAACGATGTATGTAGCTGCACCCATACCGCACCGATTTTTTTGTGGACGTCGATAAGTGTGAATGCTCAAATACAACTCAGTTTATTCCTGCAGTATCCGGTAATTTTACCGGTCCGTTAAAAAAACGGATAATGTGAAAGAGCTCTTACTCCACCAATAAAATGAACGCTTGTTGACATTTTCTTCATGCCTCCAAGATTTTAATGTTTATAAAGCTTAAATTATTATAATAGATATTAGGTATTTACTTACTTTCATATTTGATACTGATCTGATGCCTCAACTCAAAGAATTATTTATTATTCTCGTAAGTCAATTCACATGATTATTCTTTCTGCATCATTCATTGTAAAGATGAGACTCACTACAAAATGTACATATACTGTTACCTAGACATCCACACAAAATAGATAATACAGCCATCCGCGTGTGAAGAAAAAACAAACAGTTGCAAATAGCAAAAAGAAAAGCGCTAAATAGAAAAGTACGACCAATCACAGACATTATAGAAAATACCAAATTTGAAATATCGTATTACCTATCTTAGAAACGCCATATTACAGTGGTTACATTAAAATATTGACAAATTTAATACTGTTAAAAGTAGTGCAAGTCATGAACAAAAATTATATCAACGTTAGACTGAAACTTTGTTGCGATTTTTTTGAGAAAAGTTACAGCTATCCAAGTAATCCCATCCCACTGCAACGTGTCTTTTAGTGATAACTTGCAGTAAGTTGCTATAGTAATGTTGTTGAAACTTATTGTGGTTCGCTTCTATTCTAGCGAACTTGAAATGCTTTTAAACAACTTTGTTGAAATTCAAAGTAAAGATTCTTAATTAGTGGATATACAGGGCGTTTATTAAGTCCGCAACGACTTGGTTTTTGAGATACAGAACGTCCAAAAAAAATTTTTTGTTTCAGCAATTATTGTAAATGTTATTAACTTATTTGTAGAAGTAGACTTGTAAATGATCTAAGTTTGTCACATCGCAATACAATCAATAAGACATATTTTTTTACTTGTTTTTCAAAAACTCTTGACGATTCAACGGCTGCTTTCAGCGACATATACTAGGAGTATCTTTTGTACGTGAAATTGAATGGAGAATAGGTATGTTTAATCAAAAATAACATACAGTGTGACAAAAAAATGTTATGCTTTTACATCCAGGTACAACACTATGTGACACCCTCTAACGTTAAACAAAAAACTAAGTCAATATTTCAGTTTGTCATTATCAATACAAAAATGTGATAAAAATACCAAACAATTTTTTTTGGACGCTCTGTATATCGATAACCAAGCCGTTGTGGACTCTTGTTCATATGAACTTTTAATCTTAAAATTAGCCATTCACCATATAAAGTTTGTACAAGTGCTTAATAAACACCCTGTATATTAATTACTTCTGCATTATCTGTATTAGTGAAATGGTTTTCAGTTTTATTTGCAACAAAGTAGTAACTATATTTCATGACAAGCGACCAACTTCCCTAATAAACGTAAAAATCCCATAATTCTCAGTTCTTTAACCCTATTTATCAAATCAACCTCAATTTACCAATGAGAAACATTTTTTTTTGTATTGGTTACTACCGATTAGTATTATACTGTATACCTACCGATTAGTAACTCGCTCTGTGCCAGTAGTCACTGAATATCGAGTAGCAATGACATTTAGTGATTTACTTTAGTGGTTATATCTCATCCGTTCTCACATAAGAGTTTACGAAAATTAACTCAGGATGTAGACTGTCTCTCAAACTATATAAATAATGACAGATATAGTAAACTGTACACCCATAATGAATTTTCGTAACTAGTTTTAAAATAAAGATTAAATAAAAAACGTTTGGTTAATATATTTCCATTTTAGTTTAATTTATTATTGTACTTTTCATGATTATGTTAATTTAATTATAAATAGGGATTATTAAGAATAGTAATAAAATTGATTAATTCATTTTCAAGGTAATTTTTGAGCGCCCCCTTACTTTTACAGTGTAATTACTGATTCATATAGTATTAAATCCAATCAGGTTTTGGGTTTTAATTAGCGGTTAACAATCGGTTCATCTATTCAAAAGTAGTAACCCGTAACACATTCGCTGCCCATCAAATACCGTATGTAGTTCGGCAATCCCAATCAACTAATTTGGGATTATTAGTAACAACTTTTATAAAAATATAGAATCATATTGTTTTAAGTTTAAAAACATATAACAAAAAATGTTGCGTCAGTGGCACTGCTTAAAAATATATTATAGGGTTTCCGATTTCTCGGTCTACTTTTTTTCTCGGGTCTCGAGAATTCTCCACTAGGAAATCCCAGGAATTCTCAAATTCTCAAGAAATTTCTAAAACTTAAAAAAGTCATAATTTTGGTTTTGCAATGCGAAATATAAACATGCTATTATACTTAACAATCATCATTAACATTTATTATTTATTCAGTATTTTTATTAATTACTTATGTTTCTACTTCTACTAACAAAACTAAATTAAACTTTGAGTTTCTTCTTAAAAACCTTTAACTTGTTTTTTTATTAAACACTTTCAATATACTTATGTTTATTTCAATGTTTTTTAATCGTAGTTTTCTTCCAATAATAATTATTAATAATCATTAATCATGCAGTCTTTTAATTAAATAAATAGTAAATAAGGAATTTAACCGAAGAAATCTTAAAAAAAAAAAAGCTTTAATTTAAAGATACAGAAGCGTTCTTCCTATTAATTTATCACTTCAACATTAGGTATCTGCTTATAATAAAATTTCTACACAGACTTATAACTAGGTACAGGGTGATTCACTATATTTTGACCCCCCTTTAACTTTTTTGTTTTAAGAGTTATAAAAAAATGTGAAATACAAAAGTTGCACGATTTTTTATGAAATTTTCGAATATGATAGTAGAAAAACAAATGAAGTTCAAACAAAATGGCCGCGGATGTTAACTTTGTTAATTTAAATGGAACACCCTGTATATTTTTACACATTTGGATAGAACGTTCCCTGTCGAGCACAGTCATATATGGTTTGTTGGGTCCATCTCTAACAATAAGCGAGATAATATTAAAAAACGAAAAGAACGTTTTTTATTAAGAAAATAAAATATTTTGTAATTGTTGGACGTTTTTCGGGCATTTCTGCCTTTTTTCCAATTACGTAAGGATTTAGATTTATTTGCAATATATTTTGACATATCGAACATTGATATAGTCCAAAATGGGTATAAGTATTTTAACTAAATCGCACTAATTAGTCCGTGAGGGGCTTATTTACTCATGGACAATGTTATATGGTAGGCCGTGACAGTGACAGGTAATATTATGACAACATTGTTATTGTTTGACAGTTTGTATTATTATTTATTTAAAATGGGTTACACAGAAGTAGAAAATTTAAATATTATAGGAATTAAGATAGAGTGGTTAAGATATTCTCCATAGTTTATTTTAATTCCTAATAATATTTCAATTTTCTACTTCTGTGTAACCCATTTTAATTAAATACTAATACAAAGTATTAAACAATAACAATGTTATCATAACATTACTACCTGTCACTGTCACGACCTACCATATATAAGATTGTCCATGAGTAATTGGCCCCACACGGTCTAACTAGTGAGATTTACTTAAAATATCTATACGCATTTTGGACTATATGAATGTCCGATATGTCAAAATATATTACAACTAAATCTAAATCCTTAGGTAATTGGAAAAAAGGCAGAAATGCCTGAAAGAGGTCTAACAATTACAAGATGTCTTATTTTCTTAATAAAAAAAACATCATTTTGTTTTTTAATATTATCTCGCCACGGTAGCGCAGTCGGTCGAGAGTGCGGTGGCAAGCATTTCTCGGCTAGGCTTCCTACTCTGGTCCGGGTTCGATCCCCGGTGTCGGCACTGGCAATGTCGATGGATAATGGGTGTTTGTCCGCGTTTTTTCAAGTGTAGCCCCCTTCCGCACAAGCCTTTGGCTTTTGGATTTGGGGGTTGTCTCATTTCTGTGGTGTGTTTTTATGTTTATTATTAGAGATGGACCCAACAAAGCCTATATGACTATGCTCGACAAGAAACGTTCTATCCAAATATGTAAAAATATACAGGGTGTTCCATTTAAATTAACAAAGTTACCATCCGCGGCAATTTTTTTTGAACTTCACTTGTTTTTCTACTATCATTTTCGAAAACTTCATAAAAAATCGTGCAACTTTTGTATTTTACATTTTTTTATCTCTTAAAACAAAAAAGTTAAAGGGGGGGGGTCAAAATATAGTGAATCGCCCTGTACATTAAAAAAATAAGAATCATCAAAGTAAACTAAAGCATGAACGAAACGAACTCCAGTCAAGAACTTAAGACGCGTGTGATTTTTAAATTTCTCGTTTTCTCGATTTCTCGACACTTTTTTCTCGTCTCGAGTAAGGCCAGATTTCCAGGGAAATCTCGCTTCGAGAAGTCTCGACCAAAAACCCTAATATATTATCCCTAATGCCCACTGACGCACCAATGTCGGCGACAAATGATAAAGTTTCAACGGGGTCTAATTCCTCATTTTGAATGTCTAGCGGTAGCTCCAGTGGATTGCCTAAATCATCTGCAAAATTTTCCGCTAATTTTTCTGCTCCATTACACTCACTCCCTGAATCTTGAAAAGGTTCTTCATCCGAATCACTATAATATGCCAAAGCCAGCATTTCATCTTCAGTAAGCTTTTTTAGTTTTCTTATTCCAAGTTGTTGTGCCCCAGATGGCCCTGGAACTGCCATTTCTTGTAATAAAATAAATGTCCCGGACCAAGCGCGTAACCTTATAAGGGTCTTAGCAACGTGCCCCTACCACATCTAGTTCGCAACCGTGGTGCCTGCTCCTAAGCGGGTGGTTATATTCTCAACCGTCAGTGCCGACACACATGCGGCAGGGGCACTAGTCACCGAACCTGAGCGCCAACACTGTGTCGACATGGGCAGCGAACGTGTTAAATAAAGCGCAATGTCATTTTCTCGAGTTCTAACGTATTTTAAATCAAACTTAATTTTCTGTATAGTAAATAGTAATTAGAAAACTGCCAAAATTGAAGGATATATAATAAAACAAAAGGAAAATAGCAACCAAATATGTATTTTATATACACCAACATATAGTAACAAAAATATATTAAAATCATCTCGTTTTATTCATCGAAACAAAAAATATTTTCCATGCGATAGAAATACAAACGTGTGGAAGTTTCAGAGTAAGAAAAAATAATCCAGTAGAATTTTAAGTTTCGTTGTGCCAGGTATATTAGCCCATTAACTATAATTCTGGTATGTCCAAATGTGTAAAAAAAGGTGTGCCGATCAGAAATCCCTCGTTTCATGTAACATAATCTAAAATTTGTGTCAAGGTTGCAGAAGTACATAAGTTGAGAGTGTTCTTAAGAAATAATCAAAAAGAACAGACTTCTTTTACCTAGCAATTTTCAGAAAGCCCTGCAGGTGTTGAACAAAAGAGAGATTCTTATTTCATCAAAATTTATATTTGATAATGTACTTAGTGCTAAAGTGTCCACAGATTTACCAACCTGAACGGTCTATAAAAATAGTTTGAAATAATACAGAACTGTAACTGAATTGAAGACTTGTTATTTTTTTAATTAAGTATGCAATCTGTGATAACTGCTGTTTTTGAAGCATAAAATGATAAATCGTTATTGTCATTGTAGAGAAATCTGAAAATACTTTCAAATCACTGCGAGACATGATTATTACTTAAAATGTTTTGTATGAACCCTCCATACGACTGAGTAAATATGAGTAAATTCTAAACATATAAAACCTCAAACCCAACAATAAAATTCTACGAAACTGGAATGTAACATACAAAAGTTAAATATAGCTTATTATATGTACCAAAGAAACTTAAACGTGTGGATGTGAATTATGGATGAAAAACACAATCCTTTCCTTGAAACAGAAACGGCCAATTATACATATTTGACACTATAATACAAAAACCAATTTTGCACAATGAGTATTACATTATATCGACACCGATAAAAATAAAAGATTTATAATGTATGCTTTATTTATTGAAAAACTGAGAAAACCACTATAGAACTTTTGTTTTTTTTTTACAAAAAATCTTTAAAAAGCAACTGCGTTTGCTAAGCCAGTTGTAATCGGTTAAAATCAGTGTAAAGTGTATTTGTAGCCAATATCGGTTTTAACATTGCTTATCACTTTCTGCACAATCACATGGACATTTTCCCTGAGAAATCTCGGCATGGGCACATATTTGTACACGAGAAATCCGCCGAAAGCTAACAGAGATATCTTGAAGGAATATTTAATGACTCTGGAGCTTATTGAAGGAGGGGGGATTGTAATAATACCCCTAAGGAATGGTTTCTGGTCCTGAGGCCATAGTCTTGTTATACCAGGAACATGCCCAATTCCAACTACACCAACAACTCTAATTGGTTCCACTTGAGCTTCACCTCCTACGGAAACAAAATCTGTGTGATTTATAATGTTTGGAACACTGCCGAAAGAAATATTTTAAATAATTTAAAGTAACACGAGACAATTAAATTTTAAAAAATTTTACACACCACCAAGTTCTTGTTTCCACTTTGACAGAGCTGCCATTTGCAAAGAATTTGTCAAGAAAATGTCCCTTTCGTCAAGAAAAACCTCTCTAAATGCTGGATACTCTCCTGCCAATTCAGCCAGTAGTTGTTCCAACATGTCCCGATTTTTGCATTTTTCGATATCCTCAACACTAAAAATACAGCAGAAATAATAAAAATATAATATTCAAGTTCTAAAAAAATAAATATAACAGTCACATATGAAGGTACGTATATACATATCTAGGGAATAAAACTATAAAGAAACAACATACCTAACAGGTTCCTTGGACGTCAACAAATGCCATGCTAATTTGACCGTTTGAAACCAGGTGAGTCTTGCCAGGGCCCTTTTGAGAGTTATATTTATAGGTCTATCTCCTAAGTGAACATTACAGTTTGAAATTTTTAAAGCCTGAAATTAAAAATGTGACAACTGACAAAAAATATAAAATACATTACGTATCCACAATTTTTTTTTATTTAGCTAAACAAAATACAACATAAAATGTTTACGTTATCATAACAGAAAAAAGAAGAAATGTAGTTTCTTCATAACAGTTATATCGAGATTAAGGTATTACTGTATCCTATGTCATATGTACAGGGTCATGCCCGGAAACTAAACCGACAAACAAATACAGCAAATTCTAGGGATGATTTGATATCGATTTGACATAAATCATGTTATCCAAAAATGCTTCCTAAGGGAGGTAAGGCCCTTTTAACCCTTTCGCTGTGCAATACATGTGAACGTAGCTACCGCGCCGTGTGCGAAAGTTTACCGCATGCGAGTTTACTTGTCTGGAGCAGTTAGACTACTTATATTTTTACATTATGTTGTGTAAAATTAAAATATGTTTAAAGGTATCAAAATAATTGTAATAATTTAGTTATTAATATTTTATTATAAAGGATCCATCACTACGCTCCTCGCTAAAATTTCTTCCAGTTTTTTGTCAATTTTCTAGATATTTTTACGATTTTATTTTAAATAAAATCGTAAAAATATCGACAGCCATACTAAATAAAAACTGAAAAAGAGATGAACAATCTTGGCATTACTACCAGTACCTCCTTCCATAAAAATAATTGCCACAATCGCTATAAGCTTCTCCAGCGAAAATTCCCTATACCAATAATTGTAACAACTGAGTCACTAATATGCATGGTTCCGAATATATACGGTTTGAGTCCTATAAATTTTTAGCAAATAAACATCTGGAGCAGTGAAAGGGTCAATTGTTCAAATCAAACTTAAGTTATGTGTTAACTCTTATATGGACAGTCTTTTGATGTAAATAATCTTTTAATTGTAACCATAGGCGTCACATTTGGGAGAGTTCTACAGTAGTTTTTGAAATATTCGGATACATTGCAGCCATCTTTCTAACATTAATGTCGACATTTTCCTCAAGTTCCAGTAATATATCTTCTTCGTGTTCTTCACAATATATCTTCTTTGTGTTTTTCACTTATATCAGCATGTCTCCCCGTGTCATGTTTTTTAGGAATCACTGATCCGGTTTCTCTTATTCTTTGATGCAGGGCAGTAAAAGTGCCATGAAGAGGATGTCTGCTATTCGGAAATTTTTGGGCATATTGACGTGCCGCTGCTTGAGAGTTAATTGAATTTCGCCATACACTAAATGCATATCGGCATATTCTTCTGTAGTAAACATTTTTAAACATTTTTTGTATTTAGCAAATGGCAATTTAAATTATTGAGGAGTGGGAGAAAAAGACTGATTAAAAACTAATTTCTAAATATAACATTCACAAAGCCAACTTTGCTAATGCAAAGAATTTGAAATTTTGTAATTATCGTGCAAAAAAACAAACATTTCAAATAATTTCTCTGCATACGGTATACCCTAGCCACTCAAGACAATAGTACCTCTTTAATCTAGAATACTGTTAGTTTTCGATTTAGATTTTAAAAATATCAAAAAGTTAAAATAAAAAATATAATTAAAAATATCAGTCAACCTTCCCAAATTTGACACCTATGGTTACAATTAAAAGATCACTTTTACATCAAAAGGCTGTCCGTATAAGAGTTAACACAGTTTGATCCTTCTAGATAAACAGATATCTGACCAATAAAAAAAACAATTTCAAAGGAACATTTTCTTAGGAAACATTTTTTGATAAGGCAATGTCAAATCGATATGAAATCATCCCTAGAATATGGTGTCTTTGTTTGTCGGTTTAGTTTTCAGATAGCCTGAATTTTCAACCTTTCTATCTATGACCAAGTTTTAGGAATAATAAATAAATAAATAAATATATTAGTCACTTCTTGAAATTGCTTTTTTTAATTAAGAGTAATTAGTAATATACAAGGTGTCAGGGTGTCTGGGTGGGTGTCAAAGGTTGGGAAATCTCAAAGCTGGAGATACTGGTTACCAAAATAAGTCGATTGAGCCAAATATGCTTTATGTAAATGTTACTGGTTTCAAAGATACAGGACGTTCAGTGTTTGAATTTTATTTTGAAATTTGTCAATAATTTTGAAAACTCAAAATATGAACAAAAAAGATTGACACTATTATGTTTTTTGACATGACATTAAGAATTTTTAACATTGCGTTGCTTGTATAAGGCGTCAGTTATGCCCTATTTCTTTGATAAATAAGGGAAAATTCTTTTTACCTTTAGAATTACAGGTATTATGTATTGAAAATTTGAATGAATATCCTTCGCTTCATAAAAAAATTACTCTTGTTCGTTTTCGATATCTCCCTTGGTTATCGAGATATTTGCGTCTACATATTTCAATGCATTTCATGTTTAAGCAACTTTTAATAACTAATACTACTTAACAACTTGTGTATAATTAAATTATCTACAGCCAAACAAAATTTTCCCCTATTTATCAAAGGAATAAGGCATAACTGACGCCCTATACAAGCAACATAGTGCCAATTTTCTCGTTGATACTCTGACAATTTTCAAAATTATTGAGTAATTTCAAAATATAATTCAAACATTGAAGGCCCTGTATCTTTAAAACCAGCAACATTTTGGCCACCAGTATCTCCAGCTTCGAGATTTCCCAATTTTTCGCATACACTCTGTATACATATTTGCTTTGACAGTTTTGGTTTATTTACTTATTATACTTTGATTTATTTATTAATAGTCTCAGATCCCGACTTAAATGGACCTTCACCCATCGAGTTTTCTAATGAAATTTGAATTTTGATAATATAATGTATTAATAAACAAAACTTGATTTGGTCGACATCCAATTTCCCTGCACAGTTATGTTTAACAAAAATTATTATTTTTTTTTCATGAATGTAGTTATTGAATTTTTGGATAAATTTATTACCAATCGAAAGTAAAATATGTATACATGCCAAAGTTTGGTTGTCATTTTTGTTCCTTGCATAAAACTAGGCACAGGTATAAAGAGATAACTTTGAATTAGTATTTTGTGAGTTATAGGGTTTTCTATATTGTTATACATGCAAATTTTATTGCGGACACGGTGGTATTTGGTCGACATAGCAAAAACTTGCAAAAGTTCGGGTCTTCGAGACTTAAAGTTCGGAAATTATAGAAGAGAGTAGGGTGTGACAGAGAAACACTGTGTATAAGTTTATACTTGGAAGAAGGATGCCGAATAGTGGTTAAGAAAAAAAATATATACTATAAAAGATGTTTTATAATAACCCCATTGTTTTTAAACATAAGATATTTTTTAAATAAATTTTTCTAGTGAGGGAGTAATTATATGATCCGCAATAAGTCCCAATAGTAGTAGTTCTTTCTATAGGGATTTTGAGAAATAAAGTAAACAATGAATTTGTATGAGCTAAAACAGAAAATATTGAACAAGGTTAGTACTATCACTGAGGTAACATATCATGGTTGCTTGGAGTATATGTTCGTTGCCTAATAATATGATGAAAATATTATTACAAAATAAATTTTTATATTTTTTATTAACAAAGAATTTAAATTGTTTAGTAAATTTAACGCCGGAAAACATCAGTAAATAGGTAAATCAAAATTGTGCAAGCTATCAAAGCAAATATATAAATTGCAATAAAAAAAAACACTTTGTTTAGTTTATATCTTCGAAATTCCCAAATCAATTTTTTATTTTTATGAAATCGCAAATAAATTTCCTAAAAGTTACGTCTTTACAAGATAAGGCAGGGTAAATTGTTATATAAATGACCCTGTACATTAGAGCTGGGCTAAATCGCTCTTTTCAGGGATTCAAATCATCAATACCAATTCCTCTATTGGAATCAATTCTTTGAACTCGTTCATGATTCCGAATCTGCCGCAATGGTGTTGGGAGTTGATAAATGCACACTCAGTTCCATTCTTCTACCAATACGAAAATCGTTGATTCATCTCTATAATTAAGTACTTCAGATATTTAATATATTAATTATCATTTTGTATAAAAGCAATAGTTCCCTTATTTATTTTAACAAATATCTGTCAAGTTTATAATCAATTCTGATATCGACATATGTAATTACAGATTTATTGTTGAAATAAGTTGAAATTTCATCCCTGTCTCAAGTTCAAGTCATAATCGCATGATGTGACTTGTACAATTGCTAATTTATATTTGTAAATAAATACTTTCAAAACCTTGCGATAACAAAACCGGAATTTCTGGACGCATTTGTTTCCAATATCATCTAGTTCTCTACGCATCATAGCAGTCCTCGGAATCATGAACCGTAAACACAACACTGTAGGAAATTAAATCCCTTGAATCCAACTCAGGTATTGTTTAAAGCGATTTGTTCAGGAAAGACACAACTCTACTGTACATACTAAATTTCTAAAATATGTTTAAAATAAAATGTACTTCTCTATATGCAACTCTAAATTCTCCTCCAGGAGCCATTCCAATTTCTTTAGTTAAATGTGCGCTCATATTAAGTAAAAGAAGATACATAAGACCATTATATACACCATTAGACCTTATAGTAGAAACTATTTTTTGCATATCAATATTTTTAGCTTCTTCTAAAACAGTTGCCTCATCTAGAGATAATATATTGGTTCTTGAACTGCATAATTCTATTACAACTACATGTGGAAGAACATTTTTTATAACCTAAAAGATTTAGCGTCAGTTACAGGAGACATCTGCTTGATAGCAAGTTGCATGTATAATTAAAATTACAGTATATCAATAATTTACTTACCTTTACTACATCATCTTGGGATTCTTTACTAAAATGAGCTGTGCCAATAAGATATACTTTCGCACCAGTCTTTTCATGTTTTAAAAGTGTAACTGTTTCGGGTAAATTATTATCAAAGTCGTCGTCAGATTTATTGCTCGAAGATGATTCTACATCTCCATATCCTAATATTTCGATGGCTTCGCTTTTTTCAGAACCATTTTCTGAATCAGTTCCTATTTTAACTGTACTCTCAGTTAATTCTAAAAAAACAATTTATCAACAAAGACGGTCCAAATGTGAAAGATTATTTCTTACCAAAATTAGTCAGGGAATTATCCATTTTACTTGTTTTTACAGCTTAAAACTATTCTAATAATTATAAAAAATAATACAACAAAAAAAAGAAAAATTGGTGTCAACAATTTGACAGATACGTCAAATTGTTTAAGGAATAGGATTAGAATTAATCTGCTTTCCAATTGCCCGGCACTGCTCCTGAAGTGTTCTACTTACTGTTCTACTCTTTAACTACTCCAAGCTTAAACAATTATTAGAACACCTCCGAGCTCCCAGAGAAACACGGAAAGTAGGTGGATGAAGCATGAAGGGGAAATTTAATTTTTAAGAGTAAAATGTTCAAGGCTTATTGGAACCAGAGATATAGAGTACTCCAAACTCTATTTCTCTGATTGGAACGCGATAATGTAATCTGAAGTATTCCTTAAGTGCTTCCGAAGTACAATTGGAAAACAATTTTTAGATTATTGAGGACGAGTGAAGAGCGAAAAATGAAGGATAACTGACAATTTCAATCGGTGTAGTAAAGGGGTTACATCAGGCACCGTTTTCCGTTTTGTGCCAAAAATAATAATACCTATTAGTAACTAATATCAGTTCAGAGTAACTCTAATTGTAATTAATTAGTCTAATTGTAAGTCCAGCCAGGACAAAAGGAGGTAACACAAAGCGCCTACACCGGCCACATTTGCGGTCGGGGTAGACGACGGATGGAGCCCACCTACGAAGGCTGTCCAGGCCTACACGAGATGAGGCAGGATAAAGAGGGATAATCCCCCTCGATCCCAAATCATTGAGGCCAATTTCTAGCCATAGAATAATGGCG